GAGCGAATCTACGAAGTCAACTTTGACCAGCTATTCGAGAAGAAATAGTCTTCAAGGCTAACCCTACCAGATGTTGCAGATCTTCGATTTCCACTTGTTTTGTTAAAGTTACTAGTTAAAAAGAAAAGAAATGTTTTTGTAGAATAGATTGTTCCCTAAAATTTGTTAGTCAGAGACTTGCCTCGTTTATATAACGTTTTGATAAACTAAATTTATGAGGAAACAGTGTCCTAAGTTATGAGACACTATGAGGCGACATGGGGCACTTGATGTTAGTCCACTTAAATTATTGATGGCGAAAAAGTGAGATAATTTAGAGACGTCGCCATGTTGTGTTTAGAAGCCGATCATTTTGAATAAATAAGTTTTTAGTGTTACTAATTTTGCCCTGCTAATTTTCTTTGTGCATAATTAAGTAGCAATTGCTAATGTTTGTAGTGATTTGTGTCAGCTGATTCTGAACGGGACGTTCAGGCTTAGAAGGAAGCTGTGTAACATTTGAGCAATTGACATAATTTGTTTTGACTTGGCGCGCCATAGAAAGCGATAGACGCGAGATTGGTTTGTCGCCGCCAGCGGGCTAGTCAGTTGGTGAACGCTACTCGTGCGGGAAGGACCAACCAAGCTACCGGAGCGTCAATCCAAGGAGGCGAAAGGGCGTACTGCAGTAAGTATATGTGCCTACCTACCTTTAGCGTGGGGCATATAGCGGAGCCATAGGCGCGACTGTTGGCCGGACGCCTCGAGGGACGACGTACGCTAGCGAGCGTACATCTACTGAGGCGTCGGTCCGAGCACTGAGGCGCAGGGCTGCTGTAGGTAGCGGTGGAGGCGTTGGGACTCATCGAGGAGTTACACGCTCCATATAAACCAGGCTCACGAGGAGCCTACCCCTTTGAGGCCCGAGGAGACGAGAGGCGTTGCCGAGGGAACAACTGTGCGCGACATTTAGAAGTGCATAAATGCGGCACTTGCGTGGTGGATAAGTGCAAACTAGTGGCGGCGGAGGCGCTATACACTCACTGGAGGCGCTATACACTCACTAGAGGCGCCATAGTAATCACTTGAGGCGCTATTAGGGCTTATTCACAAGTAAATCACTCTAATCATAATAATTGATCTAATAAAATAAATCAGTGAAACCTTCTTTCTTTTGTCATTGCGTCACAGTAATTTTTACATGTTTGTCAGTCTGTATTGGCTGTCTGGAAGTCAGCGATCAGTGAGTAGACTGAGTATACGTGGTGGTATATTTCCAACCGAACGGACCTGCACCTCGGCGCTGTTAGGGTTACTCGCCTTACCCGCGAGTGTTCGCCGAGGACAACCGACCTGGCAATAGTAAAATCCGCCACAATAGTTAGCAAAGCAAATGCATTTAAATGTTCTAAAAAAGCGTTTTATCTGGACATTATACACATGTATAATTACAATGTAATATTGCTCAGCTGGAATAATTTTATTGATTGTACATAATAATATAATTACTTAAAATATTTGTTTTCTTGTTTAATACCACATTAAAGAAACTGTTGACATTGAATAATTTTTGGCAGTTACTGGCCTCTTGATACCAGCCCATCCCTCCCCCTTTATAGATTTGAAAATGTTCAGATTTTTCCCCACTTTGTGTTCATCCCAGACTCAAAACCTGCATACGCTATGTTCGGCCCAAGAAGCCCAAGAGTCTTTTATTTCAAGGATCTGGTGATTTCCTGCTCAATATCAAGCCTCAAAAGTTGCCATAAAACTAGTTCTTTTTTATATATTTGTGTATATATATTTCTTTGAGTTTATACGTCCTTTAGGCCCATCAATGAGCCAACAACACAAATATAACTAAGGGACTAGAGAATGCACGGGACGGACGCGTCGACGAACTTGAAAGGCCCACTAATTTATTATACAACCTGCAGGCGCGGTGGCTGGCCTGGCTACGAATTGGTTTTAAATGAACGATTAAGTGCGCGGGGCGGCCGCAGCCGCGTCCGAATGATCCACTGGCTGCGTCCGTTTAGCCGCGTCCACAGCCGCAGACGCAGCCAGCAGCCACAGCCGAAACATTCGGACGCAGCCTTAGCCTCAGTTCGAGGTTTGGGCGCGCGCACATACTGAGCAGTCTATCTGATCATCCCGCAGATCGTTGGCAACACGTGTTCAACTTCTTGTCGACTGCCGAGGCTTCTGAGTTCTGACTTACCACTCCATACCACATATCATGTCAGCGCTTCCTGAGTGATCAAGTATGGATTTACCAATCACAAGAAGTATTCGGGCCACAAAACGGGCAAGAAGAGACATTCTGCAAACTGTAACCTTTGCAAAGCCACGATTTCTGAAATTAGTGATCTTGGAACTACCTCTAACTAAATCCGTCATCTTCAGCGTGTACACAAATCCTGGTATAAGCCTGAGGAACTTCGTAAATGATGGGATAGATCCAGTTGCGGGGGGACCTTTTCTTTCCTCCCAAAATTTTGAACCATTGTGGTAGGCGTTACAATTCTGTGAAATATTTTACTTGTATACCCTATCAAGTGCACCAGTGGAGCCCATTTTTAGTCATGGGGTATAATAATGCGTCCCCATCGTGCCAGCTTATCGTCCCGCATGTTGGAAAGGCTTATGTGTCAAAGATGTAAAGAACATGTTTTAGTTTAAATCTGTATTAAGCCAGAACACAATTTTCATACTTGTGACCTTGCAAGGCATTCTGAGTACAAGCAGTGACAATTTTCCAGCAACATCTTTTTTAAACAGGATTGGAATTTGGGATTTCAATATTTTAAATTTTTTACACTTGAAAAGCCTTTTAAATCCTGAAGTTCACTTAAAAAATATTGAGGATGAAATCTTTTATGAAGTTGGTTAAAATGTATACTACACATAACCTTTAACCTTTGCTTTGTATTAAAAGGGGTCAAACAATCAACTTTGTCCTAGTTCTCATCCACGATGATGTGTATTTGATATTCACAAAAGGACTCGGACTCGGAAACAAGGACTCAGACTCAGACTCGGACTAGGATACCAAGGACTCGGACTCTGATGGGGTGGACTCGACCATAGCACTGATTATTTATTACCTAGATTTTTTTTTTCCAGTCGATTTTTGTCATCTGCAAAGAGTTGCTCATGTTCTGGCAACGGTTCCAGCCCTACTTGGCCTAGCTGCGCAACGTTGTAAAAAAAATTAAACATCTTGGAGGAATATAGGCCTAATAACTGCATATCATGACGACGGATGTTCGCATACGATTTTGCTCATTCATGAAACAATCAATGAATCACCTCTACCCACCATTTTATAATAGTTTTAGCTGACTATCTATGTGCGGTAACTTCAGGGGCGGATCCAGGATTTTCCAAAGGGTAAAGGGCGTGATTTTTTTAAACCTAGTGGAAATTTTGTCGTGATACACCAACGTGCGAAGCCACGTCGTGGGGTTCGGGGCCGACTTAATGGTCCCAAAATTGTGAACTTTAGAAGCTCTTTGGTGCATTTTAGAGCAAATCTTTGGATCTTTGAGGTAGATTTTTCCTCAAAATTCAGAGAAGATAGATAACATTTTTTTTTTTAAATAAAAATATAATAAACATTTCACAAACATAAACATTTTCTGAACTGGAAAAGTTTGGATTAAAAGTAAGTTTCAAAATAAACAAATTAAGCAAAAAAAACAATAATGTCTGCTTCCTATTACATGACCTCATTACATGACTATCAGTGTGCATACCTGCACTGTGTATTTTTTGCGGACTCGGCAACGAACCCACGTGCTGTGGCCGAACATTTTTTCAGAAACACGCTAAGGGCCCTGTCACACTTCTGCGTATCCTAATTCCTTATGAGTTGCGCATTGACATTTTTTTTATACGCAGTCGTACGCACAATACGCACCTCATATGCATCTCTATCGTTTTGTGTAGGTTTTATGTACGCAGATATACGCATGGTACTTGCGCTGACTAAAGACATAAAATGATCACCGAGTTGTGCTATAAATACACCTACGACGTCGCACTTACGACGTGTTTTGTGAAATGGATCGCCGGACGCATCGCAGCTGTGACGCATCGTAGAAATACGACGCATCGCAGCGCTGTGATACATCGTAAGTTTATACGAAGAATTTGATGAAATCGGGTGCAGGTTATTTTGACCATCTCTCAGCCGGGGGGGGGGGGGAGGGGTGGATTCCGTCCCCCTTAGATGTCGGCCATCAAGTGCCAAAACATTTTGAAACTCGGTACATGCATAGAACAACTTATCATGAACATATCCAAGACATTTCATGACAAAAAGTTAAAGGGTTTTGGAATTCTGGCTAATTAATTATTCATATATGCACGAATGGTAATTCTGCTCTGCATACACTACGTTTATGGGGAAATTCAGTTTTCAGTATCAGTAAAATTTGTTATGATTTTGGTAATCAAAAGATGCGCAAGGCTCGAGGCTAAAAAGTCACAACAGCTCGGGTCGCGAACTTTTTTTTTTCAAGGCTATCACAAAAAAAGTTGAGGTGGGGGTGGATTCCGCCCCCGGCCCCTTTAGGCCAAAAAAAAAAGTCTCCGGTTTCTGGTATGGAGCTTGCCCAAAAAGTGGTGCGGCGACGCGGCTTTTTTTTTTTTTACCTGATTTTTTTGCTTCAAATGTCGGCTGATGACTGCAAATGGTGCCCGACTAACTTAGTGCAAATATATGGGAGTCCAGAGAGGCCACATAAAGCTTATTCTCGACCATAACCCAATCTGAAAACACGTTAAAATTGTGTAGCAGCAGGATTCCAGTCAAACCAGTGAGTTTGGCGGTTTTGAGACATCATATTTCATTGAACAAAAACATTTCATTTTGCCGACGCGCATGGCTACGGCGACGCGCGCGCATACCAGAAACCGGAGACTTTTTTTTGTTGGCCTTAGGGTTAAACAACTGTATTTTCTTTTAAATGACTGTACGAAGTATAACGTGGTTAGTCTGAAATACAAATGCTTACCTTGAGTATTCAGTCTGGCCCTGACTGGGCCACAAACAGCTCGGTTTTCCCAAAAAGACGAAGCTGTGATGCGTTCATCCGGGATGCGACCGTCTTCCATCCCGAGAGGTCCCCCCACAGAGCAAGAAACGTCATCTGAGGAAAAATGTACGATTGTTTCGAGAACAGGTTTTGTACCAAATCTCATTTTATTAACAAAAAGAAGGATTATGGATCTTTTGTGCATCCCAGAGTCTCTAGCAACAAAATGATCTTAGGATGCTAAGATGAGTGCTTGCAACGTCAATTAACATATGAAAGGTCGCCCTCTATCTTGCCCGCCCTTACAGGGACGCATTTGAGTCCCCCCATTTGCATGTCGCCGCCGCGCTATTATCGATCGGTACTACTGATGGCGGGTGCATTCATGATCACAAAACAAAATTGAATGAAGTAGCACATGATTAACTTCAAAATTATGTATTTTAGTCTATACTATTTTCTTTAGTTTGATCTCTCATATCATATTTGTGGTGTGATTGTTTTACTTCAAGAAGCTATGTCGATAAATAAAGAAAAACATCCCGGACATGTCAAAAATACTGTTTTATGCACGAAATTTGGATAGTCAAGACAAAAGTCAGAGAAAACGGTAACGTCGGACCACACACTACAGCGATATCGACATCGTGCATGAGCTGCCACGCTGGTCATTAGTCTGCTTGCGCTCATTAAAAAGCGTTTACATGTTCCAGATACATGACCATCACTCCCTCAGTCTGGCTGCCAGATACACAATTACAAAATTACAACAACGTCTGCATATGGTGCCCGACTAAATTGAGTACAAAATGTAAGGGAGCCCAGAGAGGCCACATAAAGCTTATACATGATTGTAACCTCATGCCTGCCTCGTCTCCTTCCTAAATGTCAATTCGTTTGCATGAGTCGAGAAGACTTCTGTTACATTAATCGCTATATGCTGTTTACGGCCATCACAATAAACGATTAAAATATTGGCAATATGTCGTACTTTTAAATCACTAAAATATCCAAGTAAATCGACAGGCAAAGTAGCCGATGCGGGCGATACGCTGGCACGGTACATAACACAGAGAGGCGTGCGCACTGAGACTAGAATCCTAAAAGTACATCTCGCCCACCACATTCAGTTTGTGACAGCGCCCTTCTATTGTGTCGGCCATATTCTCAAATAGGCTAATGACGATGATGACGGCGGGCAGATTAACAGAAGATAGATCAGGCAAATATGGTTCATCAATCTTCTATAGTATATGAAAAGGTATTGACATTAAACAAAAATAAAGTGGCATTACATTTCAGCCTTAGCCAGGCCTTCTTCAGAGATAAATGACAGAGGAACAAGAAACAAACACGTAGGGGACACACAAACATGCAGGGTTGGAAGGAGAATCACAAAGAGGGATGGGGGGCAGACCAATCCATATCTTGCTACCACCTCTCTAAATTTTGGGGCTACATGTACAAGTCTATATTCCATGACTGAAATTTAAAAAAAAAATATATCAATATTTTCTTGCTCCAATTTTTTTTGGAATCAGGTTTACAAGGAGGTCCAATGTAAAATTAAAGTTGCACTTGAATATCCGTTAGTAGTCATTGCTGAAACCAAGGGGTGGTTGTGGAGTTTAGGGTCCGAGTTCCTATAACAGATGAAACATCCACCTTTAACTTTTTACTTTTGTCAAGTTTCAACATTGCAAGAAACTCGTACAAGTTATCATACTCCTAAGTTAGAGTTTCTTCATCAGATTTACACTTTATAGTAGTTTAACAGTATTTTTAAAAAGATATTTAACCGTACGCCGGCAAAGGGTAAATTTAAATTCTGTTAACCATAACTTTGTTTTTAATCCAACTTGTCGCAAGAGGGCCGGCACTGGCCCGATTCAGGCTTTGTATTGTGCTACCATTAAGGTTTGCCAGCACTGGACCAGCTCTGTGCCGTCAACACGGAACAGCATTGCCGCAATCAAGCCAGCAATGGCCCATTTCTGGTTTTGGATCATTGAAACTGTACGGTACTGCCAGAACAAGCCCATAACAAGTCGGTATCTGCCCTGTACCGTCATGTTTGCCCGGTACTTGGCCTATGTGTTCTCGGGGAGGACTGCACCCAGTGTTTTCAAGGGCAGGGGGAAGGTGGCGCCACTGAAGAAGCTCAAGAAGAACACCAAGTTCCACAAGGCTGTCAGGCAAATCACATTTGCATATCAACAATTATATAGTCACATGCAAGTTGTTTTTCGAATTCATTGTGGTTGATGTAGTGATCGTATATTATGAACTGTGTTACAGGCAGGTCGTCGTGACAGGGAGGGTGCCCCCCAAATAACCATAATTAGTTAGTTGACATTTTGTTTGCAATCGATTGCACACCTTTGATGAACGGGTGCAAGCCAGCTAGACTGTTTCACTGCCCATACAATTCCCTGGCGTCTATAAATTGCTGTGTTTCATTTAAAGAGGGGTCAGGGAACCAGACAACAAGAAAATGATTGTTTCTTGGGTTTCCCAGCATCTATGAACACAAAACTTTATTCAAGTCTGTGTAAGTTCGCTATAAAATATTTACCTCCAAATACAGCCTTTTCTGAAACTTACAGGAAAAGCTTTGTTGTACATTCCCTTTTATGAGCTAATGACATGCAATGACATGTTTGCCACATTAGGCAGGTGGCATCAATTCAGTGTTTAGCCAAATACAGGTGAAATAATTGTTATCTTTCCAAGCATTTAATGTTGGGATGCCGTAGAGGACATCAAGCAAGTGTTTTATGGAGTAAAATAAAGTTTGTTGTTATTGTATGCTATAAAAATATCGGTTTTGAGCCTCCATCAGTGACGTCATAGAACTGGCCCCAATGTCCACATTAAGCTACCACTTACAAAGTTTTATCATACTTTTATGATACTTATACACATGTAGGAAAGAAAAATCATAGTTGGGATTAATCCCTTGAGATGGTACCAATATGTGAAATTTCAGCCCCTGGCTCATGGACTGGGTATGTTGATTTTGATTTGTACATTGACGCTGTAGCTCAATCAGACGAAGTGTTTCAAGTATTGTGATTATCATGTTTTACTCAAGCGCCCGTGAATGAATGCAAATCTCTTGTGTGTAACAGGGTTGATAATTGTTCCAAAATTGCATATAACAACTCGCAACACAAAGGTCAGGTCATCCACACCAGATGCGAGATGCGAGATGGCAGATGGGGAACACCTAAGTAGCGCGAATTTTTCTTAAGTAGTGCACCTAGGCTCATTTGAACGAGAGACAAATAAGTCGTAAAATGAATAAGGCGTTTAAACCAGAGAAAAAAAACCGTTTAAACAAGATAAAATCCGTCGTTTAAACCAGATAAATAAGTCGTCTAAACGAAATAATTAATCGTTTTAACAAGATAATAAGTCGTTTAACCGAGATAATAAGCAGGTTTATTGAAATAATCAGTCGTTTAAACGAGATACTATGTCATTGTTTGTTTGTTTGTTTGTTCGTTTGTTTCGCAGCAATACCGGTACGCTCTACAAAACGCAGAGCCAGGTCATGTTCTTTTTTTTGTTTTTAAATTTACTCGCTAGCGGTTTTGACGCAAAAGTCGGCGGCGCAATGACATGAAACAAGCCAAATACACGTCAGTATCAGATTATTTTTCTGAGACCGGCATTTCCTGTTTTGATTATTATTATTCTGGTTTATTAAACAACCAATGTCTTGCCAACCTCGTCCCCAGTGCTTACTTTATTTCCAACACGGTTTCCAATAGTAAACCCTGGATAGAAAACTTTCTTCCTGTATCCTGATTGGATACCGCAATTGGCTAGTAATGGATTTTTATCGTGTACTTGGTGCTATTATTCACAACGTGCAGTGAGAGAGCAGGTAGTGGTGGGCGCGTACTGCTCGACACCCTGGGGACGAGGTTGATGTCTTGCAGCCTTGCGGCTGATATGCACATGGTTACAAAAATAAAATATCAACATGTAAAGGAAAATAAATACAATTAACAGTGGGCACAACACGACATATTAACTTCGACATTAAAGTTAAAATGTAAACAAAACGTAATAAAACCAGACATATGTTTGTGGACAAACATAGGGCTGTTTCGGTAGCTTTTTGTGACATGTGACATGTGTTCCATCAACGAAGGATGTGTAGTTCTGTTTATAATACATGGTGGCATATAATTTGTGATTCCATTCGCATAGGGCTTTGAATTATGACGTCACATGTCACGTGATGACGTCATGATGACGTCACATAAAGTTTCACCTATTACTATAATATTATGGTAAAGAACAACTTAGCCAGAGCAAACATCGTTGAAAGCAAGTTCGCGTCTTTCACCAATTTTAGATTACAAAGCACTTCCGGTTTCAACCAGAAGAAAGGGTCACGTGATTTATTTGCACATATTTAAAAAATGAAGACCCTCGATAATTCTATCAATTCCCGCAAAAATCATGTTCAGGTCTCGACCACCTAATTTTTTGTTTACCTATAACACATCCCGGTCTAGCCACATACCAAGTTTCAACCCAATCAGACTTACAGTTCTGTAGATATAGGACTTCATAATATGCACGTAAATTTTCAAAAATCAATAAAACAAATTAGGTGATGACGTCATCATGACGTCATAGTCTTGGCATAATTTTTGTATGAGGGTCTTCCTTGGCTGTAACATTGATGACGATTCCAGATCGCCAAGTTATAGAAATGGTGGCTTGAAAACGTGTACAAAGTCAATGGGCTTACACGTGTACAAAGTTAACGGGCTAAAAAAAAAAAACACTGCAGAAACATTGCACCTTTGAATTTGTAATTTGCCTTTGAACTGAAACATTTTTTTTGAAAAATTACTTAATATTCTGACCCTTTGGGATATGTTCAATCGAATGACAGCACAAAAAAATACGATTTATCTTTCCTTCTCATAGTAATTCTCGGCTGAAGTTTCAAATGCTTAAAGAAAACCGCTTAAATTAGTCATTTACCATTCAATTTCAAAGTTTGGTCAGTCTCTTTAGTCACCGGGGTTCAAGAATATTCGTCATTACAGATCAAATTCGTCTAAGCTGTTGCCGAATGGTGGCATTCAGAGATCGAATTCGTCTGATATAAATCAATTAGACGAATTTGAAAGGTTTGGCGTAGACGAGACGAGATAGAATACCCCCGGACGAAAACGTGTAATCATTGTTTGAATTTGTTTGTATGAAATGAATTTG